TTCGCCGGGCTGATCCGGGTCAACAAAAAATTCGTGATTTGATTGGTTAATTCACGTGATTCTACTCCGCTTTAGACAACCCCCTTATTTAGTAATTAGCAATCAGACGTTAATCACAACAAATATCACCTATATCACGTGTAATATTATTGATTGGTCAGTTGAATAAATTTATATCACATATACGTTACTCATATGTATTACTTACGTTGTATTACTGATGCACATTACTTTCAAACCTCCACTTACACTAGACACATTTCGTAATAATAATGGAAGTTTCACTATTTCTAAAATAAGAGTTGCCGAAAACTATTTAATAAATATACTTTATGTTCCAAAGAAGTTCAGAAAGAATCACAATCTCATATAAAGGTGGATCAGTGTATATCAAATAGTGTAACTATGCTAAAACGAAGTAGACAAGAATTGCAGAATAGTGATTTAAACAAAGCTGTCGTCCTTTTTACTAATGTGTGTTTGAGTTTAATTTTTTTTTACACAAAATTTTTAATTTCCTTTATAACTTATAAAATATATTTAAATTAAGTCAATTAACGAATCAAGTGAGAATATAAAAAACCAAGGTTAGTTATATTTAGTTACAAATATTTATACTCTTTATTAAAACTAATAAATATTTGTAATATTTAATATTTAATAGAAAAATTATCAAATCGTGAACATATATTTTATAATAAATTTCTGTATATTATAGCTATACGTAAAATAGGTGGCAGAAATCAGTACCAATATTACAAAGTAATTAAACTTGGCCATTATCTGTTTATTTCTAAATTTACTCCAAAAAAAAAAATAGTATTGCATACCAGATCTCTAATAAATATGAAGTTGAAACTAATTTATCAGGATTACCTGTACGATGTAAAACTGGATATCAGCAAATTGGTAATATTATTTATACAGTTAGTTGCGTAAATTCAGATGATAATATGGTATCGAGTAGTAGTATAACCTTAGCAAGTGATGCCAGAACTCAATTTTTAATGGTAAATATAAATTAAAAAACTACTAAAATTATTTTATCATATGTTTAATTTAAAAATAAATAAATAAAATTATTTTAGGATGTTTGTAACAAACCAAATAATGTATCTCTAGAGTATTTTTATTTGGCTTTGATATTGATTGTTTATACAAAGCAAGAATTAAGATACCTGCTAATTGTAAATGACCTTACATAGAATTAGAGTCAAACTCACAAAAAAACAAATGAATTGCATTAATAACTAAAGATTTAAATATTCAAGCAGTAGATTTTTTTTATAAGCATCAATTTATTGATTAATTAGATGCAAATATTATAGAGCTTGAATCAATAAAACTTAGGATTGAAAATAAAGCTATAATTCTCAATTATTTAACTAAAAATAAAGACAAACAAAAACATTATACTTCTATTGTTCAGACATGTGATAAGGCATTAATTTCTTGTAATATATATCAGAAATTAGTAGCTATAGACTCAAATATGATTTAAGAATATTTAATTGAACAATAATGTAAAAAATTAATAGTCAAATTGAACAATATTGCTAATCTTATTATTAATATTGATCAGTCTAATACAGTTTATTGATCAATTAAATCTTTATTAACAGTTTTAGTTTCAATTTCAACTGCTTCTAATCTGATTATTCTTTATCCTAATAATAAAATTAACATAAAAATTGGTGGTAATAGTTAAAATGTTAGATAAAAACAAAGTTATGTAATATTAGCAATTAGTATACTAAATAAAGGTGAAGCAGTATTAAATCCAAACTATGTATATAGATAAAATATTTTATTACTATTATTATTATTTAATTTAAATAACTAATTCTTATAATTTTTTTATAAAGTATTTGTTTATATATCAGTAAAGAAAATTATAGAATTAAAACATAATAGATTTGTGAAAAATATGAGAGCTATATAGCTTATAGTATTTTTTTTCAGAAGATTGAAAATATTTAGCACTTATATTAGGGCTTAATATAGCAAAATCAAACTATTTTTATTTATTTTGTAATTGTTATAAAAATCAATATGTAAATATAGAATTAAATTAGAATAATGAATTAAAAATATATAGTAAATATTAAGATTCTTTTAAATAAAAAAATTTAAATTTATCTAATTACAATTTTATTATTATTTAAAGCATAAATATTTAATACTTTTTGATATCATTAACAAAAATAATTGAATACCTGATAAACTACATACAATATTTTTCAAATTATTTCATTTGCATCAATTTAGTTTGAGAGTATAAAGATAATTTATTAATGTTAATTAGTAGAATTAAAATTATAAATATAAATAAAATTATTCATAAATACTTATTTCTAAATTTCTATTTATAATTAATTATCTAATACCCTTCAAATTATTTTATTCATATTAATTTAGTTTGAGTATAAAAATAATTTATTAACATTAATTAGTAGAATTAAAATCATGAATATAAATAATTATTTATAAATACTTATCTCTAAATACTTATTTACAATTAATTATTTAATACCCTTCAAATCATTTTATTCACATTAATTTAGTTTGTAAGTATAAAGATAATTTATTAATATTAATTAATAGAATTCAAATCATGAACATAAATACTTATTTATAAATACTTATTACTAAATACTTATTTACCTAATACCTTTCAAATTATGTATAAGTATAAAAATAATCTATTAATATTCAAATCATTTCATTCACATTAATTTAATTTAATACCTTCTAAATCATTTCATTCAAATTAATTTATTGATGAGTATAAAGATAATTTATTAATATTAATCAGTAGAATTAAAATTATAAACATAAATAATTGTTCATAAATACTTATCTCTAAATACTTATTTATAATTAATTGCCTAATACTCTTCAAATTATTTCATTCAAATTAATTTAGTCAGTGAGTATAAAGATGATTTTTAACATTAATTAGTAAAATTAAAATTATGAATATAAATACTTATTCATAAATACTTATCTCTAAATACTTATTTACAATTACTAATCTAATACTCTTCAAATTATTTTATTTATATTAAATTAGTTTATAAATATAAAGATGATTTATTAACATTAATTAGTAGAATTAAAATTAATAACAAAATACTTATTCATAAATACTTGTCTCTAAATACTTATTTACAATTATAATACTTATCTAATATTCTTCAAATTATTTTATATTTATATTGAATTAGTACATAAGTATGAACATATCTCAAAATACTTATTCAAAATTAATTATCTAATATCTATATATAATTTATTACTATTAATAAAAAATTATAGTGATTAGCTAATAATATTTGATATTGTAAAATTATTTATTTGTTAACTAATACTAACACTAATTAATTTTTTATATATATATAATTGTTTTTCTCTATTTCTTCATTTGCTAGTATCATTATTTGTTGGTTTTGTTATTTGTTAATGTTATTATTTATTAGTATTTTGATTTTGCTTATATAATTATTAATTGTTATTCATTATAGTTTTTCAGTAGATTTTTTTAATACTAATATTTCTTTTTTTTAGATATTTCACTTAGTCATTTATTTTTCATCTTTCTTTAGTAGGTTTCTTTGTAGTTCTTAGATAAGTTTCTTTGTTAAGTTTTTTTTTGTATTAATATTTCTTTTTTTTAAACATTTCTTTATTGTTTACTAGTTATTCTTTATTAAGTTTTATTATTATTATTTCTTTGAGATTTTTTTCATACTAATATTTCTTTTTTTAAGGTATTTCTTCAGTAAGTTTTTTCATTTTTCTTTAGTAAGTTTTATTTTTATTATTTCTTTGAAATTTTCTTTATACTAATATTTTTTTTTTTTAGATATTTCTTCAGTAAGTTTCTTCATTTTTCTTTGGTAGATTTTTTTTATAGTTTTTCAGTAGATTTCTTTTTAGAGGTTTTTAATATCTTTTTTTTTTAAACATTTTTTTGTCATTCATTCATAATTCTTTGGTAAGTTTTATTGACATTCTTTAGTAAAATTTTCTTTATACTAATATAATATTTCTTTTTTTTAGATATTTACTAGAGTTTTTTTATCTTTTTTTTAGTAAGAGTATTATTTTTTGATGCTTTTGATATTTGTTAGTACTTTGGTATTTCTTAAAGCTTTTATTATTTGTTAGTGCTTTGGCATTTTTTAGAGCTTTTGATGTTTATTAGTATTTCATTATTTCTTAAAGCTTTTGATATTTGTTAGTACTTCATCATTTCTTAGAGCTTTCAACATTTGTTAGTACTTCATCATTTCTTAGAGCTTTTGACATTTCTTAGAGTTTTCAATATTTGTTAATACTTTGTCATTTCTTGAAGATATTAATATTTGCTATTATTTTGGCATTTCTTGAAACTTCAACATTTATTAGTACTTTATCATTTCTTAGAGATTTTATCATTTGTTAATACTTTGGCTTTCTTAAAGAATTTATCATTTGTTAGAGCTTTATTATTTATAGAAGCTTTCATATTTATTATTTCTTAGATTTTTTTTTATTCTTTTCTAATCTTTTTTATTTTTAGATAATCTTTTGGTATTCTTTCATTTGCAGACTTTGCTAAAATAGAAAGATGAATAGGTTCTAATTTGTAGTTTGACTAAAGTTAGTGAGTAGATTTCTTTATATATAGATATTTATTATATAATAATATAAATTTTTTCAAGTTGTTATAGTTTAGTATTTATTTATTATGTAGAAAATATTTGTTATATAATATTATTGTTTTTTTTTAATAAATAAGATTTCTACAGTTTAACATAAATTATTATTTTTTAAAGATTTTTTTTAAAAAAAAAAATTAGCATTATTATATAGCAATGATAATTTTTTAAAAAATAAAAATTCTGCAATAACAATTTTTTTTATATTATTTCAGATATTTGCATATTATTTTAATTTTTTTGCATAATATTTAAAAGATTTTTTACATATTTTCAGAATATTTTTTAGAAATTTTTAAAATTAATTATTTCAAAAATTTTCATATTGATCATAAATTTTTTAAAATATTTTGATCTAAAAATTTTTTTGAAAATTTTCATCTATATAAATTTGCTGATAATAGTTACAACTTTAATATGCAAAAAAAGAGTATATTACAATGAAAAAACCAGATTGAAGAAAGAAAACAATAGTTAGCTGAAAAATAAAAAAAATAATAACTCATAAAAACAAAAAAGAAGATAATTAACTAAATATTAAATATAATAATAAGAGGAAAAACAATAGGATACCAACTATTATGACAAGCAAAGAACCTAATTTAAAGAAATTACAATTATGAATAAGAAGAATTAGCATAAAAAAACAAAAAAAAAAAAAAAAAAGAGAAAATAGGAGATTAAATATTTAAATCCAAAAATAACAATTTAGCTTAGGTTCTGGTATTCTAGTATAAAGTAAAAAAATAAATCAACAATATTATATAGAATTAAAAACCTATATTCAATATTAACAATAACTTTTTATTATAGCAAGGACTAACAAAAGATCTTAAAGTAAAATAAGCTCTTTGTAGTAAAAAATAGATTATTCTACAAAAAAGATAGAAAAAAATATAACTAACTACTAAAATTCTAAAGAAAAATAAATCTGAACTAATACTTATTCTAATATATAACTACTCTTTTAGAATATATTTTAGAAAAGATATTATGTTTAACAAAATCTATAATTATTATTACTAGCTTCAGATATATAATGATATATGCAAATATATTAGAACCTATAAAAATTGTTAAAAGCAATATGATTAAAAGATAAAAGAAAAATTATATCTTATATTTATTATAATCTTGTTTTATAAAATAGATACCTAATCTAATAGATATATCATAGTAGCAACTAACTATATGATCAAATTGTCTGAAATATATAAAATCTCTAAAGATAATGCAGAAGAAGTAGCAAAGTTTATCTACAAAGAAATAATATGTAGTTACAGATACTCAAGATATTTATTTTCTAATAAAAGATTCTATTATAGAAATAGATTAATTGATGAACTACTAGTAGCTTTAAATATAAAATACTAGTATTCAACTCTATATCACTTCTAAATAATAGACTAGTTAAATATTTTAATAAAATATTATGCAGATTTCTAGCATGTATAATTATTAATAACTGATTAGAATCTTTTTATTTATCCTATACTATTTAT